CTGTAGATTAAACTCTTTTCCCTGTCCCCTTGTACAGTCCCGCCCCCTCCCCCCTCCCCCCCCCCCCCCCCCCGCAGGCCTACTGTCTCTCCTGTGTCCTCTTTCTGAACAGTGGGCCTAGGAATGAGGATGCTCTGAGTATGCAGCCACACTAGAGCTCTGTGCAGCGATGCTGTTGCTTCTCTGCTCTGGGATGTGCTCTTATCGTTCCATGTTCCCTTCAAATGTTCCCCTGCAGCCTCCTGATGAAGCAGAAGAAATTCCTCTACAACTTCAAGAACCTGCGCTGGGCCCGGGGCCGGCATGAGACCTATCTCTGCTACGTGGTGAAGCGCCGGGACAGCGCCACCTCCTTCTCACTGGACTTTGGATACCTGCGCAATAAAGTATGGGCAAGACTTGGGCACCTATTAATATAACCAAGTACCCATCAGCTCACTTACCCAGCCTTGACACTATCTTTGTACCCAGCTACTCACCCCAATATGCATCTACTCACCCCTCAGCTCATCCCTTATCTATTCATGAGTCCGTTAGCTCACCCCCATGTTATCCATGCATCCTTCAGTTCAATCCATCTGCTTATCCACTACCCCCCATAACCATCTATGCATGTCTCCATCCTCTCTCCCATCCTCTCCCTCTCTGTCTCTCTCTTGCTCAGTCGGGTTGCCATGTGGAGATGCTCTTCCTGCGCTACATCTCTGCTTGGGACCTGGACCCAGGACGCTGCTACCGAGTCACCTGGTTCACTTCATGGAGCCCTTGCTATGACTGTGCCCGGCATGTGGCTGACTTCCTGCGTGCTTACCCCAACCTGACACTGCGCATCTTCGCCGCCCGGCTGTACTTCTGTGAGGACCGCAATGCTGAGCCCGAGGGGCTGAGACGTCTGCACCGGGCTGGGGTCCAGATCGCCATCATGACCTTCAAAGGTGAGACAGAGAGCGGGAGACCATATCTCTGAGATGGGAGACAGAGGCATGGACAGAGAGGACAAGGGAGAAATGGTGATGGGGTGATGGAGGGAGACACATAGAGGGTAAGGATCCCTAATGATCTTGAGGACAGTTGGGTCCTCGTCAGAGCAGCCCTGGTGCCTCCATCCTGTCCCCTGCTCTCTGACAGATTACTTCTACTGCTGGAACACCTTCGTGGAGAACCGGGAGAGGACCTTTAAAGCCTGGGAGGGGCTGCATGAAAACTCTGTCCGTCTGTCAAGGAGACTCCGGCGGATCCTCTTGGTGAGGGACATTTCTTCTCCCCCTGCCCATTCAGTGCCTCTGTCCTTTCCTCCTTCTATCCTCCCCGTCTTCTTTTCTTAACTTTCCTCTGCCTACCTTCCTCACTCCTCTCCTCCATTCCACCTCCCTTTCATCTTTACCTCAGCCTTTTTGTGCTCTCCCCTTTCCCAACCTGCCTCGCCTCTTGTCCCCTTCCTCTTCTCCTCCCCTCTCCACTGTCCAGCTCCTGACACAACTAACTCCTCTCTTTCCTCTTGCTCCACACAGCCGCTGGATGAGGTGGATGACTTACGAGATGCCTTCAAAATCCTGGGACTTTGAGGAGGGCAGGGACTCTGGAAACACTGGCCCTACAATCTGTTTGTCTCCCGTTCCCATGTTCTCTCCTTTTTTCTTTCCATCCTTCCTCCAGCCTTAAAGCCTCATGTCCTGAGAAAAGACCTTTCTTACTACATCCCTTTCAAGGAAAATGAGGACGAGCCACTAAAGACAGAATTCCCCCACACCCTCACTCCACCCAGAACCTCTGCCTTGCTGGGGGAAGCCAGGCCTGGAATGACAGCTCCACACTGCCCTGCATTGATGCCTGTCAGATGTGTCTCACAGCAGAATTAATCTGAGTGATCAGTACCCAAGTCTGAGTATCCAAGATGGCTTGCCCCAGGTGCAAAGCCCCATCTGTGTTACTGTGTGCTCACTGGCGCTGCACTTGCCCATGTGTGACCCTAAGACTCCTGGGGCACATCCCAGGTTTTTTATGCTGCAGCTGCTCCATGATTCTTTCCCAGTGACTTGTGGGATGATTTGTCTGTCCTGTTGGACACGGAGAGGGGGAAGGGGTGACCATGACCAGGCACCAGATGATTAACTGTGATTGAGTCTGTGCCCTCATTCAGGGTGTGTCTAGACTACACCTCTCTGTTGACAGTTCGAAGACAGAGAGATGTAGATTAGGCACATCGAAATTGCTAATAAAGCCAGGATTTAAATATCCTGCACCTCATTAGCATAAACATGGTCGCTGCTTTTTTTTTCGAAAAAACAAACAAACCGGCAGTCTAGACATGGATCTGTCAAAAATAAAGCCTTTTTTGAGGCTCATTTTTGAGGACTCCTCCTGGAACGAGGTGAGATCTGTCAAAAATAAAGCCTTTTTTGAGGCTCATTTTTTGAGGACTCCTCCTGGAATGAGGTGAAACAGTTAATTCGAACTAAGGACTTAGTTCAAATTGCGGTTTCACTGCCGTGTGTAGCCGCAGGCAGTTACTTTGGGCTAGTGGAATTTCAAAATGGCAACCTGATGGGAACATGCAAATGAAGCCCGGGATATTTAAATCCTGGGCTTCACCACCCTAGTTCGAACTAGAGGGCTAGTGTAGCCATACCCTTACGTTCCCTGCTGCGAGAGGACAGGGCTAGATTAATGGAGTCACCATCCTGTCCCCCTGTGCTGCTGCTGGGAGAGGCATCAGCTGGAGTTCCTGTGAAATTGCCATGAAGCCAGCTGTCCTGCACCGATCCCCATTGTGCTCCGAGCAAGGAAAGGGTGGAGCTGCTCTCACTGAGAGCCTAACACTGCCAGCCCCTTTGTCAACTTGGAGGGGTTGAGACAGGAAGACAGAATCTTAGATATCTGAGGTGGAAAAGCTCTGGCCCAAAGTTTCCGGGGTGTCCACTAATTTGCACCCACCTCGAGATACCTTGAGCCCAATTTGCAGAGGTGCTGATGCTGAGCACCCATAGCTCTTACTGGGCCTTGACTTCTCCAGCGGGGCAGCGAGAAACATCCATCCACATTCCATGGAGACTTTTGAAAACACTGGCCAAATCTAGTCCATCGTCGTCTCACGGCTTCCTCAGTCAGGTCAGGATTGTCCTCTCCAGTCTAACCTCTGGGCCTTCATCTAACATAATTGTAATGCTCCTTAGCAATGCAACTTCCATTATTTGGGAGGGACTATTCAACAGGCTAGTAGCAGCAGTCTGCTCCCCACAAGTAGTGTCCCTGCACTATGCTGTACTTCTTTCTGGAGAAGGCTGACATTGCACTATTTAAGAACTCTTAAGCAGGTACCTCCGGCACCATTCTCAGTAGTGTTTCCTTCTGGGAGAGGCCAGAACTGGAGTGATTGAGAGCCCCCCTGCCCTGAGTCCCCCACAGTGCCTCCTGCAGGAAGAGATAGGAAGGGGATTAATTCTGTGATTTCACACTGAAGACTCCTGCCCTGTTTTCTATGGCGCCTCCAGCTTGGAGAAACTGGAACTTGAATAGCTGTGAAAATTCTTTGCAAAGCATTAATTTCCATGCACGGTGCTGTAGATGTGCTTGATGTGATTTCTATTAATGTTTGTACATATATATATATATATATGCATATATATATATATAAATATATATACGTATATAAATGAAGTTCTTGTGTCTGAGAAAGCTTGGCAGAATTTGTTTTTTGTTTTTTTTTTAAGTAATTTCAATGGATAATATTAATGTTTCTTTTAAAGCACTTTTTTTTTAGAGTTTTATTGATTTAAAGTGGCACCGCCATATTGGCATTATGGGGAAGGCTCAACATCACATGTCAAAATTTACAAAGTAAATAGCTTGGTCCTAAAATAAAACTCTAATAAATTCTCAAACAGCAGTGCCCCAACGTTGGTTCTGGGGACGGTTTTGTTCAACATCTTTATTAATGACCTGGATGAGGGAATGGATTGCACCCTCAGCAAGTATGCATGATGACACTAAGCTAGGAAGAGAGGTAGATATGCTGGAGGGTCAGGACAGGGCCCAGAGTGATCTGTAGATATGCTGGAGGGTCAGGACAGGGTCCAGAGTGATCTAGGCATGATGAGGTTCAACAAAGACAAGTGTAGAGTCCTGCACTCGGGATGGAAGAATCCCAAGCATTGTTACAGGCTGGGGACCTACTGACTAAGCAACAGTTCTGCAGAAAAGGACCTGCAGATTACAGTGCGTGAGAAGCTGAATATGAGTCAACAGTGTGCCCTTGTAGCCAAGAAGGCTAATGGCATATTAGGGTGCATTAGGAGGAGCATTGCCAACAGATCCAGAGAAGTGATTATTCCCCTTTATTCAGCTCTAGTGAGGCCACATCTGGAGTACGGCATCCAGTTCTGGGCCTCCCACTACAAAAAGGATGTGGACACATTGGAGAGGGGCCAGCAGAGGGCAACCAAAATGTTTAGGGGGTTGGAGCACATGATCTATGAGGAGAGGCTGAGGGAATTGGGCTTATTAAGTCTGCAGAAGAGAAGAGTGAGGGGGGATTTGATAGCAGCCTTCAACTCCCTGAAGGGGAGGTTCTAAAGAGGATGGACAGAAGCTGTTCTCAGTGGTGACGGATGACAGAACAAGGAGCAATGGTCTCAAGTTGCAGTGGAGGAGGTCTAGGTTGGATATTAGGAAAAACTATTTTCCTAGGAGGGAGGTGAAGTACTGGAATAGGTTACCTAGGGAGGTGGTGGAATCTCCAACCATAGAGGTTTTTAAGACCTGGCTTGACAAAGCCCTGGCTGAGTTGATTTAGTTGGGGTTGGTCCTGCCTTGGGCAGGGAGTTGTACTCGATGACCTCTTAAGGCTTCTTCCAACCCTAAGACTCTATGGCTATGTCTAGACTGGCATGATTTTCCACAAATGCTATTAACGGAAAAGTTTTCCGTTAAAAGCATTTGCGGAAAAGAGCGTCTAGTGCTTTTGCGGAAAAGCGTCTATGCCAATCTAGATGCACTTTTGTGCGAAAAAGCCCCGATCGCCATTTTCGCGATCAGGGCTTTTTTGCGCAAAACAAATCTGAGCTGTCTATACTGGCCCTTTTGCACAAAAGCTTTGCGCGAAAGGACTTTTGCCCGAACAGGAGCAGCATAGTATTTCCGCAAGAAGCACTGATTTCAGACAGTAGGAAGTCAGTGTTCTTTTCGGAAATTCAAGCGGCCAGTGTAGACAGCTGGCAAGTTTTTCCACAAAAGAAAAACTTGCCAGTCTAGACACAGCCAATAATTCTATGTTTTTATGTCCCTTAGGGTGTGTCTACACAGCAGGGCTTAACTCGAATTAAACTACAAAAGTTTAGCTACATCAATTGCGTAGCTTATTTTGAATTAGGGAGCGTCTACACAGCACTTATTTCGAAAAAGAGCACACTTCCTCCGACTTCCCTTATTCCTCATACAATGAGGGTTACAGGAGTTGGAGTGAGAAGTCCCCCAGCTTTACAGTATTTTGACACTATTTTGAAATAACTGCCTGCTGTGTGGACATGGACTAACTTATTTTGGAATAGCGCTAGTTGTTGCGAAATAGTGTTGCTGGGTGTAAATGTACTTTGCCTGGGTGTAAATTTTGTGGAAATGTTTTCTTGCAGGTTTGTGTGTGTACAGTGAAATCAATGTTTACTGATAAAAAGCTAACCCTTCCAGACTTACGTATGAGCCTTAGCATTTGTAGTTTGTTCCAAATATGAGCCACGGAAGATCTAGGAAGATGGAAGAAAGGCTTGGAACAAAATTCAAGCGTTAAGGCTGGACACTAGACTTTCTGATTATTTGAAATATAAGCCAGTGGAATCTCCTCAGATTTGCCCTTTAAATCATTACAACACCAGACATCAAACACAGATCGCTAAAGTGGTCAGGCAACTTTTTGGAAATATCAACAAAAAGAGGCAAAGTGCAGACAAACTGATAATAAATAAACCACAACCCTTCCCCATACAAGGAGATAAACCTCACTATGCATAATTTACAGAGGAGGAAACCGAGGCACAGATTTGCCCAAGGTCACAAAACAAGGAAGTAGCAGACCATGGAAGAGAACCAGATCTCCTATTTCAAGCATAGATCAGGGCCCGTGGTCAGCAGAGGGCACTGCCTTGCATAATGCATTACCCGTTTTGGAACATAGACGCTTTTGCAATGGTCAGCAGAGGGCACTGCCTTGCATAATGCATTACCCATTTTGGAACATAGAAGCCTTTGCAGAGTGACAGGCTTTTGGGTACATCTACACTCCAACACTATTTCGCAATAGCTAGCGCTATTCCGAAATAACTTAGTCTGCGTCTGCACAGCACTATTTTCAAAATAGTGTCAAAATACTGTCAAGCTGGAGGACTTCTTATTCCGACTCCTGTAACCCTCATTGCACGAGGAGGAAGGGAAGTCGGAGGAGGAGTGCTCTATTTAGAAATAAGTTCTGTGTAGACACTCCCTATTTTGAAATAAGCTATAGCTCAGTTTGCGTAGCTTATTTCGAGTTAAGCCCTGCTGTATAGATGCACCCATCGACATATAACTAAAAGCA